GGGGGGGGGGGGGGGGGGGAGGGGGTGTTAGACATTGATCTACCAATCTTTAGTCCCGAGCAGGCTCTCAAGCCAGTCCCTTTGCTTCGCAAAGCAAACTCAAGGTAATCCTTACCAGGCCACCTTCCGTGAAAAGCGCGAGGGCTGATGATGCAAACCACCTCTGTGGCGCTGGCACAGCTAAGCGAAGGCACGCCTGTAGTAGTAGTAGTAGTAGTAGTAGTAGTAGTAGCAGGAGTAGTAGTAGTAGTAGTAGTAGTAGCAGTAGTAGTAGTAGTAGTAGTAGTAGTGAAAGTCGTAGAAGTAGTAGTAGTACTAGTAGTAGTAGTAGTCGTCGTCGTCGTAGTAGTAGTAGTAGTACTAGTAGTAGTAGTAGTAGTAGTAGTAGTAGCAGTAGTAGTAGTAGTACTAGTAGTAGTGGTAGTAGTAGTCGTAAAAGTAGTAGAAGTAGTACAAGCTGTAGAAGTCGTAGAAGAAAAAGTAGAAGCAGAAGTAGAAGTAGAAGGAGTAGCAGTAGTAGTAGTAGTAGTAGTAGTAGTAATAGTAGTAGTAGTAGTAGTAGTAGCAGTAGCACTAGCAGTAGCGCTAGCACGAGCACTAGCAGCAGCAGTAGCAGCAGGAGGAGGAGTAGTAGTAGTAGTAGTAATAGTAGTAGTAGTGGTGGAAGTAGTATAGGGGTAGGGCACAGCGCTTCCTACTAATCGAAGGTTTCTGGCTGTCACGCTGGACGAAGGCGAAGGTGGGCTTTGTGGCAGCATCAACGCAAAGAAGATAGTAGTTGTGGTAACTGTGGTAAGACTCGTGGTGGGTTGGGGTGGTCGGAGTGATAGAGGCGCTGGTATTAGTAGGGCTAGTGGACGGCAGTGGGAACTATGAAGGCAGCGGGAAGGGGTGCGGGGGAGGGCCCAACGCCTCCCCCGCAATGCAAATCAAGTATAGACAGCGTTGGGCTGCTTCGTTCCTTGATTGGTTTAATTGGGCGTCACAGCTCAAGGTGAAGGTCTTATCATCCAACCTTGTGGGGTTGTCAGAGCTGAGCCTGCACTTTCATTCACCTTTGGCGCTGGCACGGCTAAGCGATGGTGGGCCTGCTGTTGTAGGTGGAAGTAGTACTGGTAGTAGTAGTAGTACTCAGAGTGGTAGTAGTAGTAGTAGTAGTAGTAGTAAGAGTAGTCGTAGTAGTAGTAGTAGTAGTAGTAGTAGTAGTAGTCATCGTCGTAGTAGTACTAGTACTAGTAGTAGTAGTAGTAGTAGTAGTAGTAGTAGTAGTAGTGGTGGTAGTAGTAGTAGTAGGAGGTAGCAGTAGCGGTAGCAGTAGCAGTAGTAATAGTAGTAGTAGTAGTAGTAGTAGCAACAGTAGTAGTAGTAGTAGTAGTAGTAGAAGTAGTAGTAGTAGTACTAGTAGTAAAACTAGTACTAGTAGTAAAACTAGTACTAGTACTAGTAGTAGTAGTAGTAGTAGTAGTAGTAGTAGTACTAGTAGTACTGGTAGTAGACGTCGTAGTAGTAGCAAGAGTAGTCGTCGTCGTCGTAGTGGTAGTAGTAGTAAGGGAGGAGGAGGAGGAGTAGTAGTAGTATTAGTAATAGTAGTAGTCGTAGTAGTAGTAGTAGTAGTGGTAGTAGTAGTAGTAGTAGCAGTAGTAGCAGTATTAGTAGTAGTAGTAGTAGCAGTAGTAGTAGTAGTAGCAGTAGTAGTAGCAATAGTAGTAGTAGTAGTAGTAGTAATAGTAGTAGTAGCAGTAGTAGTAGTAGTAATAGTAGTAGGAAGTAGTCGTAGTAATAAGATAGTAAGAGTAGTAGTCGTCGCCGTCGTCGTAATGGATGTACTGTCAGTAGTAGAAGTAGTAGAAATAGAGGTAGGGGTAGAAGTAGAAGTAGGAGTAGGAGTAGAAGGAGAAGTAGAAGTAGTAGTAGTAGTAGTAGTAGTAGCAGTAGCAGCAGCAGCAGCAGCAGTCCATCAGGATCCATAAACAGGATCAAAAATAGAAAACCGGATCAACATAAACATCCTGACCAGGCCCCCTGTTCCTGGCAGCAGGACCAAAAGGCAGAAAAAAAATTGCAAACATACAAGGCAGGGCCAAAAAGAAAACACAGGATCAATTTTAAAAAATGATTAGGTCCTGTGGTTTTTGGGTCCCCTGGTCCTCGGGTCCTTTAGTCCGCTGGTCCTTTGGCCCCCAGTTTCCTGGTCCTTGGGTCTCCTGGTCCGCTGGTCTCTTGCTCTCCACCTAGCCCCTTGGTCTCCTAGTCCGCTGGCCTTATGGTCCTTCAGCCTTGGTAGCTCCCAGGGTATTACCCAGTAGGGGGATACTTGATTTGCATTGCGGGGGAGCCCCCCCGGATTTTTAATAGTTGCCACTACTCATAAGGCCCACCTTCGCTTAGCCGCGACAACACCGCAAAGGAGGATGAGAGGGCCCACCTTCGCTTAGCTGTGCCAGCGCCACAAAGGGGAATGAAAGTGCAGGCTCAGCTCTGACAACCCCACAAACATGGATGATAATACCTTCACATTGAGCTGTAACGCGAATCCTCCAACTCATATCAACTCATGGTGGTGGTGGTGGTGGTCGTAGTGAGCCCGTGGGCCCAACAACGAGGATGGCAACAGCCAGCTGCGACAGCACTCTACAAGAGTTTCCACCAGCTAGCCGGGCCCTCCTGGACTCCCAATCCGAGCCGCGCTTTCACCAGCATCCATATACCCCAAAGTCCACATATTATATGCATGTGTGAACACAGCAGGGCTTTCCCTTAGAACGCGTGTTTGCCTGATGGGGAGGAGGGGGGTATCGAGGTTCTGGTGGGGGAACAATTGCTCGTTGAGGCGGGTGGCTGCAAACGTCTGGCTGGCTGCGTGGTTGAAGATCGCTGACCACTGGAAGCTGGACTCCCCGCCCCCCCACTTTAATTGCCAGCACGACCAGTTTGCATCGACGGGACAATAGGTTCGTTCTGTGCCGGCGCGGTGCAACGCAGCTCCGCCTGCATGTGTCCAGGGCTGCCCGTCAATGGCCAACCGGCGCCCCACAGGTTCAAACCATT